TATTAATCCGGTTTTAATAACTTCATTTTTAGTGCTACGACTTGCTGCGCCCTGACGTAATCTTGGAGTTGGCTTGGAAACACAAAATCGTGGACTTTGCCATGCCCTATTTGATTCAAGTAAAGTCAATCAAATGTTTTATGCAATTACACCGTATTCATTGTGATTATATTGCTTAGGTTCTGCGGGAATACACCTCGAAAGTTGACAAACTGGAGCTGAACGAAGCTCAGCGCGAGAAGGAAGACGATTCTACTGAACATAAAAATATTATACAGATGGAGCCACAGCTGATGATCACTGCTGGACCAGCAATGGGAATTCCACCACAATATGCACAGAATTATCCACAAGGTGCACCGACAGTAACGGCGGCAGCAGGACGCAACATGGGCTATCCCTACTTGTAGAGACTAGATCCAGGAAAATCATCAACACAACTTTAAAAACAAATGTATCAGCATTAAAGGAATACCAATAAAATAAGTGAAATAATCTATTAAATTGCATGTGCGCCAAAAATTACCAAAACGAAAACCACACCGTAAATATAAATTCAAACATTGTTAGATTAATGCAATGCAATTAACGATCCAATTTTGGGTTTCTTTGTAGACAGTATAAAATTATATGTTTTGATAATTACAGCACTCTTTATTCAAATATAACAGAATATATTACTTTTTATCATAATTAACGACGTTATTGTCAGTCGATTAAAGTATTCTTTTCAATTGCAGAGGGTTTCTTTAAGGTTGGATTTTGTTTGCAATAATTCGAAAACCAAACAATATTATTTTTAAGGTTGAGACGTTGCAGTTTTGTTTCAAAATATCTCTGCTTTGAATTTCAAATGAACAAAATGATGATTGTGGAGAGTGAATTGACCATTTGTATACAAATGTATACCCTTTTAGCGGGTACTATAATCAGAGGTTTACAGCGCATATAAAGTTATACATATTCTTGAACAGTTGTGTTGATATAAGCATTTCCGTCCTTCAGTTTTCACGCAATCAGTCTTTCTGCTTTTAAGCTGCCCGGATGAAGCTTTCGCATACGAAAGTGACATAGATAAAAGATAATACCATAAAAACCGATACATTCTGGATGCTTCTAAAAATTAGTCATATAAAATTGCGGAAATTAAATCTTACTTTTGGAATTCGGCCTTAATAAGCGTTATTTTTTAAATTTAAAAGGCGGTGAAAATAAAGTTTAAACAATTTTGCAAAACCAGGAAAAACTGAGGCAGTTCAAAACTCTTTCTGGATTGTATGTATCTTCATTATCGTAGATTTCTTAAAGATTTCTCTATGTTTTTCTAATGCCTTTGTATATCTTTGTATAGCTTGTTCTTTGTGCCTTTCGTCCATAATTAAACAAATTAAATTAACGGAAATCAAGCAACTTTGTATTTTTTAAGATACTACAAATTAAACTCGAATCATTCTCTTTCATCTTTAGCCTTTCTTTTTAGCTTAAAGCTTTCAAAAATCCATTTCAAGCGGGCGACTTTTTTTAGGGTATATTTTTGAAAATGTTCTCCAATTGCTTGTAAATGTATTCTAACTTCCGTTCAGGTTGAAATAAAGATATGATGGTGATCGTATGTTGTATTTGCAGAATTTTCAATCATGTTTGATTTAAGAGCTAAAGCAGCTTCTTTTCAGGTCGGAAATGTCCCACTCTCTGTGTTGTTGACTCAAAATAAATACAAATGTGGAACACAAAATATTTCCGCTTTTCAAAATAGCAACTTGATTTGATTTGACAGCTATATGATATAGTGTCCGATGGTCTTGAACTGCTTTAAAAAATATGACATGGCTACAAAGTTGAAAGTAAGTCGCCAATTGGTGTGATACACGGACAGAGCAGTTTATAAATTCTAGTTGAATAATCGAAAGGATATTAACACAAAAATAATGTATACAGATATCCGGGCTTTATATAGCTAACGATTGAATTACGATCAGCAAAAAGGCATGTTGAAAAGAACTCCACTCCTTTTTGAATCGGTGTGCTTAGCGTACATCAACATAGCTGAAATATATATAGTAATAATAGTAAAACAAATATATAATATTGCGGAGAAAAGGCAACAAAATAAAAACCACAAATTCAATTGTATATATTGATTGATATTCTCCAAAAATTCTTTGATCCCTGAATTGCGGCGGTGGTGGATTTGGAAACATTTTGACAAGAAAAAGATGCGTTTAGTCAAGTTAAGTTCTGAATTTAACTTATTCGGCTGCTACAAATTTTAAATCAAAGACTTTCGGTTAAATTTGAATTTATTATATTTACTCTCCACCTATATTTTGCCAACCATATTCATTAGTGATCTTTAATAATAATATTTTTAAGTCTATACCTTTAAAATATTGTTTGTTGCTGGTTTTCTTAGCTCTCGAAATAAAATTCAACTGTCATTGTTGTGGAACTTTTTAGTATGCAATCATATTATTCTTTTCACATTAACTTATCTTATCTACGAACAAAAAATGCGTATTTGTTGTAGTCGTATATACTTTAGAGCATAAATATGTTATATTATTTGGTAAATATATATGCGTAATTGTATTATTATTATTATTTAGATAATTTTAATTAGGCTGTTTTACATTCAGAATACATTTTTGTTATCATTACTTTTTACGTTTTAGTTAGATCGGAAAATAAACCTTTATGTTATGTTCTTCTGCTTTAGCTTCTGCTTCTGCTTCTGCATTTATGTATGTATAATTTCTTACAATTTGGACATTTTATGTGTTCGAGCTTGTCTTCGGTGGATGCAGAAAATGGCTAATTACATACCAGTTGTATTAAGTTTATAATATATGGGCATTTTTAATACTAATGAATTTAAATCAGTAATTAATAATTTAATTAACGGTGGATCATTCGACACATGCTTAACTCAATTACTTACATATCCATTTTAGCCACTACAATACGAATGGATAGACAAAAACCATCGCGTAACACACAACATCATCATCATACACCTCTAGCCCTTTCGATTTTTCTCTACCTATCTCATCCCTCAACTGCCAGGATCTGCCAGCCAGCCAGGATTTCAACTAAAACAAATTTGAATATACTTTGTTCTGAAGTTAGAAGTTAGAAGAAGGTGCCTCATCTAGCTAGCTCCGTATCAGTTTTCACTCCAGCCAGCTTTCTAAACTAGTTGTCAACTTGTCACACCTCCTGTCTGTCTGTCCGCACACTGTTGCTAAATGAAAGTGGATGAGCTTGAATAAAATTAAAACACTAACATATTATTTCTATACAATTTGTAGCCTTATGTAAAAGCATTTATAAAAAAAATGGCTTAATCCTATTTGCACGTTTTTATGCATATCTAAATGGTAATTCGGAAAACTATATGTATCTGTTTCTTTCGCGGCGTACTTTGTTTCAAACATGTTAGTCAATTTTCATACTCTTACTTTCCTATTTTAAAATCAGCGCGCGACGAGTCCTAAATATTTCCTTTCTTTCTTTCTTCCTTTCTTTCTTCCTTCCTTCCGTTCTTCTTTTCTTTCTTTGTTTGTTTGTTGTTTTTTTTTTTTTTTTTTGTAGGGTTTTGTAAAGTTTTCATAAAAAAAATTATACACAAAAAATATGTTTTAAGTAACTTTGAGATCATTTAAATGTATTTTTTTTATGTATGTATATAGTACAATTTTACAGAAAGCACTCTCTATGCTGAACTAAAGTCGGTTGTTCGAGTCTTTCAAAATGATTGTAACATAATATGATACACATTTTTATTATTTTGAATATAAAATAAAAATAAAAAATAAAAATAAAAATCTGATTTCGATACTGAACACACCACTGAACAATCAACGTACTGAGGCTGTTCCGTTGTCACCTGCCATGTTAGTTTTTGGGTGGAAAACAAAGAGTTCTGATGGTGTTGGTTCCTATATTATTGCTAACCCTTAAAGCTAGCCTCAACCTCACTTAAAGGCTGGTTGGTAGTAGTATATGGCTCACGGCTCACGGCCTTTGTTACTGATTGCGATTCCGATTTCGATATCGATATCGATTTCGATTCCGTTTCCAATTCCAATTCTAATTCCAATTCCGAATCCGATACCTTCGCCAGTGGCAGTGTCGGTGGCATTGCATTGTTCACCTCACGCAACAGGCGAAATTGCTGCGGTTCATCGAGTCCAAGTTCAAGCTTGGACTCGCCACCAGCCGCTTGCTTTTCGCCAATGCTGCTGAGATTGAGTGCTGCCGCCGAGCTTCTTTCAGGTTCCGAATATTCATGAGCGGACAACTTCAGGAACTGCTCATAGCTCTGCTGTTTGTGTTCCTGCTGTTCATGCTGTTCCTGCTGTTCCTGCTGATCCTGTTGCTCAGCCTCAAATGGTTGTTGCTTGTTGCCGACGCCGATGCCAATGCCAATGCATAGGTAGGCGGTATGTTGCTGCTGGAGTGTGGACTCTTGTTCTACGTTGTTCGGAGCAAGGCTTGATTCCGAGTCTAACTGGTAACTGTTGTTGTTGTTATTGTTATTATTATTGTTGTTGTTGTTGGCTTGTGACTGTTGTGTGGTTGTATAGATGACCTCCTCCACTTGGAGTGCCGTCAGGGCACCGATTTCGTTATGTTGTGGCTGTGGCGAGGTGAGGGATTGCTTGATTAGTGTCGTTACAGCTGACAGATTCCTATTCTTAATATTGCTGTTGCCACATTTGAGTTGCGAGTTGCAGTTGTTGCTGTTATTGCCGGTGTTGTTGTTGTTGTTGTTGTTGTTGGTGTTTGTGTTGGTGTTGCTCATACCAATCTTATTGTTGCTGGCATCACTGCTGGCTATCGATATCGTGTTGCCCAGATCAATACTCGCTTTGCCATCGCAATTCTTGGCGGTACTATTATTATTGTTGTTGCTGTTGTTGTTGTTGCTGTTGTCGATAAACTTGTGAACGTGTGTGTTGATGGGATGCGCAGACAGGTCAGGCTCTGCTCCATGCAGCTTTTGCTATTCCTTAATCAGACGGTATATGTGGTGGGTGGTGCCGCTGTTCTGAGCCGCCACCTCAAAAACATAGGCTATGCACAAAAGAGTCTCCTGCGTTTCGCGTGCTCGCATTACCTGCAAATAAAACGAAGAATTTAATATATGTACATTCATATGCTTGACATATATGTAAATCATTGCAGAACTTACTTGCAATATTGTAAAGTTCTCCAGCACACTGTTCATCATGTAGCGTTCCGGCAAGTTCTTCAGCTTCTGAATGAAGTTGATCATGTACTCGCACATCGGTGATCGCTGAATACGGTAGACGTAGCGATTGTTCTCCAGTCGAGAGTACTCGCTTTCCACTTTCTCCACCACCTGCTTGCCAAAAGAGCAAACGATCGTGGAGCACACGAGCACGACATTCTCGTTGCTTTCATATCTATGGTGGAAAGGATTCAGAATATTATTACAAAATTATGTTGTACGCTTAGGTTTAGCAGACCTTAAAACTAAGTAAATATTACCCTTCAAATCTGAAAGCTATTTAAAGCTTGAGAATACCAAATGGTACTAAGTTGGGTCATATTTTAAGTCAGTATTTAATAGCAACTTTAACCTTTTGTTACTGAGCCAAGTTATCAACATTATTTGCATAACATAAAATTTGTCTATCACAAGACTTTATTAAAGAAATTAAAGTTCTGTTTTATGTAATTGTTTTTTAACACCTTTGTGGATTCTTGGTTATTACTTTAACTTGGAAATATTCACATATCGTATTTTTAAAGTTTAGTGCTTTATATATATTATTGTTTTAATAATAACTATTTTTTGTTTGTTCAGTTCTTTAAAAGACAAATTTACACAATTGTACATTTAAACATATGTCCTATTACGAAATTATCTACATTTAAAAAAATATGACTAGGGAGTTGTTTAGAAAAACCTGAAAAGCGATTTATGATTATGATTAGGAATTTATAGGAAGCTAGATTAAAAAAAAACAGCTAGTGATTTATGATTCACCACTGAATTCGGGGTGACTACACATAAAAAAAAACTGTGTTGAAAATAAGCAACAGACAGTTTAAAAGTATAGGTGTGATTTCAATGCTAAATAATTTAAGCCCTGTTTTACTTTTTTTTAGTCCATCTAAGTTTTGTTTTATCACTTGTATTACCTATCTTGTTGAGAAATTTAAGCCCTGTTTTACTTTTTTTTAGTCCATCTAAGTTTTGTTTTATCACTTGTATTACCTATCTTGTTGAGAAATTGTTCATACCCAATAGTTCAAAATTCATGCAACACTTTATTGAGTGTCTAGTGTAAAATAAAAACTACTGCCATGTATTATATAATCGCTAATTGTTATTGATCTGTTATCTGTTATCTGTTAAGACTTACTGGCTGGTTACGCCATAGAAATCACCCGTTTCGCTGCCGGTCGTCAGGTCGGTGTTTAGGTCCGCCCAGCACTTAACCAGGTAGAACGCATTCTGTGGACCCTTTTCGTAGAGATCTTTGAGCCCCCCGGACTTTTCCGGAAACTTGTCGAATATCTGTCGGATATCGACAGTCTGCAAATTGCAAAGAGTTGTTAGTTCTGACTTATTATATAATTTATTTTGATAGAAGTATGGTACTTACCTCAAGCAAGGGATCGGAAAAGGATGGCTTGCCGCCCAGTTGAACAAACAGGTGACGGTTATACTGCAAAGGAATGTGGATAAATGTGAAATTATCAATCATAAATCATAAACTGGCAAAGGAGGAGAGCCCTTTGGACATACCATATCATCTCTCTGGATTTCCATGAACGCCGTGAACTCGAGTAGGCGGAATTTGTGCGTGGCAATGGCTCGGCCCTCCCAGGGCAGTTGTGAGGGCGGAATGCCGGCCTCGTCCCCGGATACGGCCGTCGAGGGCTTGCCGGCGGGATAGGGCGGCTGGGCGAAGGGCTTGATGCTGTAATCATAGAAACTATTGGTCAATGCAAATGCGTTGTATAGCCAATTCGCCGTCGGGTGGTGCTCGATGCCAACTTACTCTTGGGACGTGCTCGGCTGGAGTCCTGGCTGCCAGAATTGCTAACGGGCGAGCGAGCGAGAGAGCGAGAGAGAAAGAGAGAGAGAGAGAGATATAGGGTTAGAGATTAATAGGGTTACCATATGCGTGGTTGTATACCAAAAACAAGTGGATGAGGTAGATATACATAGGTACAAGTACGAGAGATGGTTAAACATATGGTGCGGCGACTTGTTAATCAACTGTTTCACTATAAGACATACCCAGCGATTTCAATGTTACATACGTACAGTATAGTTATAGTTATAGTATAGTATAGTAGTACACAATATAACATACATAACTCTAAGTTAGGCTCTATTTTCGTCATCGTCATCGTCATCGTCATTGTCTTCGTCTTTGTCTATATATAGTACATATTTTGTTTAGCAAGTTCAAAAAGCAAGGAGTTTTATCTTTTCGAAAACTGTTCAATGAGCAAGCGAGCGCATTAGGGTTTGGCTTAGCAGTACAACATGGGGCATGGGGGCATGGGGGCAAATCGTCGATTTTGAGTAGAGAGTAGTGATGATGGCTGTGAAGTGGAGTGAAGTGGAGTGAAGTGAAGTGGAGTGGATGCATAGAATGGATATGGATATGGATACAGATCATCGAAGGCGCACAGAGCAGAGATTGCAGCATATTGCACATACTAATTAAGTGAGAACGGCGGCGGTCAGAGTACACATACACACACACACACACACACACACATAACAAAAAGCCAAGTAAGAGCATTGCAAATCCTAAATGAGCATTGCAGATTATGCAGTGGTTTGGTGGTTCGGTGGTTTGATGGTTTGGTGATGGTGGTTTTTGGTTTTTGGTTTTGGTTTTGGTTTCGATTTGGTTTTGGTTTCGGTGCTACCCATGAGTTTGCAGAGCGTCTTTGGTTTGGAATTAATGCAACAGCGCGCAGTAGTAGTAGCTTGGTAATGAGTTGCGTGTTTTATTTTATTTGGTTTTGTTTTCGAACGGTATGACAGCATTTGGAAATCGAGTTGGAAATAATAACAGTAGCTTACGCCAGAATACAACGGCGGGTGGTGCAGTGGCACCGGCGGCGGAGGAGCAGGTGGTGGCGTCGCCGCTGTGGATCCACTTTGAGCCACTGAATCCACATTGTCCGTATCGCTGAGGCGATGTTGCTGTTGCTGCTGTTGCTGTTGCTGTTGCTGCTGCTGCTGCTGTTGCTGTTGTAGGTGATACACCGCCGCAACGGCTGCCGCATGTTGGTGATGGTGATGGGGATGCATATGACTATGCGGTAGGTGCGGCGGCAAGTTGGGATGCGAATGCGAATGCGAATGGGGATGTGAATGGGAATGGTGGTGGTGGTGGTGGTGCTGATGGTGCTGGTGGGCTGGTAGGTGCGCATGGTGGTGATGGTGGTAGTGGTGCTGCTGCCGTGGCGAAGGAGCCAAAGTCGGCGGTCCGGAGGTGGAGGCGGATGAGGCATTGCCCATTACCGCGGGATGCCGATGCAGGGGCAGGGAATGGGTCAAAGAGAGATGCCTCGCATGGTGGCCAACTGCACCGCCAACTGCACCGCCAAGTGCACCACCAACTGCACCACCAGACACCGACGACACCGATGATACCGATACCGATGCCGATAATGCCGAGGCGGCCAATGCCAGATTGTTGGCCGCTTGGGCGGAGACGATCTGCGAACTGGTCATTGTGCTCATGACCTGCAACGTCTGCTCTTTCTCATTCAACAAATGCAAGGACACACCATTGGTTTCCTGGAAGAGAGTTTCAGTTGGGTTTTGTGATTGGAATTGGGTGTAACGGGTGTATCGGGTGTAACGGGTGTAACGGGTGTATCGGGTGTAACGGGTGTAACGGGTGTAACATATGCCTGCTGCTGCTGCTCCTCCTGCTGCTTGCTGTTTATCTAACACACATCATCATCATCATCATCATCATCAAACACACTCAAATTTGTGTTCATTGTGTAAGTCAAGAATCGAAATCGAAATTGAAATCGAAATCGAAAAAGGGAGAACTTGACATTGACCCTTCAATTGGGACAACAATCAGTGGATACTTTTCACCTTTTTTTGCTCTCCTCAATGCTAGCCCATTTTTAGGGTGGACCTTGAGGACAAGTTTTTAGCTCGGCCTTGCTTTTCATGCTCATATTTTTAGCCCTAAGAACTAACATTTTCATTGTTTTTTTTGGAAGGGGGGAGTCCTACACGAATCTGATCTGAGAATATATGTCTACCCCACCGAAAAGATATTATCTCGATTTCTGAAGCCACTTACAACTTTGATTTTCGCCTGGATCTCGCGGAGTTTCCGCCGAGCAAGCACTTGGATGTGCGAGCTGACCTGTTTCCTGGTTCTCGTCTTGCCCGTGCGCAGTTTGATGTATCGTGCGATCAGTTCGTTGCGACCTGTAATATGCAATCACACAGAATCATCAGTAAATAGGTATTTTTAATAGGCCTACATTTGGCCTAATCCTACGGCATACATGGTTATTAATTTTTAATACGTATATAGGTACTTTTGTTCAAGTTTTATACGGGAAAGAGATTTGGCAAAAATTCAAACCCTAAACCACAGTGTACTCCTGAAATCGCTTACATTAAAAAATTGATTCCAATCGACTTTGCTTGAAAGTATGCACACTATTTACATATATAATATGTTCTCTTAAAACTTTTTTATTCTATTTTGATACCTTAACTTTGGCGCTAAAACATAACAGATTAGAAAACAGCATTTGCTACGAAGAAAAAACATTCCATGCTCTTTTTCTTTCAAATAAACTATTATTCGTAAAGTTAATAAGTTGTGTTTGCTTTTCATTTAATTAAATATCGAAACAGAAAAAGAATCTAGAGTCGGGAAAAAGGTATCAATAAAAAAACTGATCTTCAAAACAGATGAAAAAAACACGTCGAACTGGTTTCTAAACAAAACTAATTTTTCCATACAATGCCTTTGGCATCGGAGTTCTGAGTTCTGATGGCACAACAAGTAAAAGAGAGTCCAAATAGAGAAAAGTCATGATTATAACATTACAGCTGACTATATCTGAACAAAATTAGAAAACACTGGAAATCTGCTATTCCTATTATGTAAATATTAGTGATACAATTTACTTATTGTCATTAGACAGATTGTAAAAAAAATTAAAAAAAAAAAAAAAAAAAAAAAAAAAAAAAAAAAAAAAAAAAAAACTTTGCAGCAGTATACAAATTATATCGTTTTGTCTAGTCTACTCAGACGTTAAGTAAAGTCGAGTGGAGTGAGTTGTAAACAAAGTACGGATAACTAATTTATCTGGGTAAAGTGGTGATTACCAAGATATATGTTCATTCATGAGCACTTACCGTACATTTTACCCTCGTCGGATAAGATGATTTTTCTACGTCCGCACGGCGGATAAATAGATAAAGCCTCTTGAAAGCTCTGTTCGATGTCTGGGCTCCATACACCTTCGGCATCAGCGGACGAAAGATCCTTTTCGTCCTAAAATAAAATGTTTAAATAAAATGCATTAAATTAAAATACATTAAATAAAATGTTTAATTTTGGGTTGATTAGAACTAAACAACAAGGTAAAAATTGATGGATTTCATAGAACAGAGAACCACTTTTGATAAATAATATTTTAAGAGTATTAAGTTACATATTTAAGTATGATGGAAAACATTTTAAAGCTTTGAACTAATGCCGTTTAAAACGAAAACACAAACTTTAAATGTCAAACCACGTTTCAAACGTCTATCTTTATTGGCATTTCAAAATTTCTTAGACACACTTAATAACATGCAAATAAATCATTAGATTGGTGTGTACAATAAACGTGAAATGTAAAAGTAATTAATTTTAAAAACAATTTTTATTTATCTGTTTTTTTTCGATTTTTATTACACAATGTAAATTCTATTTTTGCTCAGAATAAACAGTTTAGTTACCTAATTAACAGTATAATCTACAGATTCTAAGGAACTAAAAAGGCAACATAAAATGAGGTAATGTACATAGACTCGTTCAAACCCTACTGAGATTGTCTTAAATTGGTGTATTCTTTTCATGCCCTAGCAAATCTGTGGGGACCACAGTTTATCAGAAAAAAAATAGTATGACTCAACGGAAAAATATTATTCTTATCTATCCACCAAGTATGAATCATAGCGGTGGTATGTGCGTTCACTAGATTTAGATTTGGCCCAGTATATTCCCAAGATTTGTATTTAAATTTGTTCTGCCCGAACTGATATTAAAGTCCTCGACTCATATACAGTGGTATTTAAAATTCAATGTGGTTCGAAGTAAATTAGTTTTTAGAGACAAATTAGTCACAGTGGGACATTATTTTTATAAATAATATATGGACTTCATTTTTTGTTTTTAATAGACGACTATATCATAAAACCACAATAGGCCATTAAACAGAGTTGGCAAATTGGCATGCCTATTTTGTTTTAAAATATTATAATATTATTAATAGAGGGTAGCAGAACCCGGAGTAAATCATAAAGAAACTTGACTTTAGTGATTTTCCCCTGTAAGACATTTATTTTATGTTTTAAAATGATAAAAAAAACGGAATCTTAAAAATTCCTGAGAAAGTTAAAATTATTAAATATCATTGAACAGAAATGTATTAATAAGTATAATAAAAGCTGTAAGGACACAACACCTACGCACTGAAAAAATGTGTTCTTAAAACTATTTGAAGTCGGGTTCAAAAATAAAACATCGACTATTTAGGTTTATTAATGCACGAATCTCAAACATGCTGATCTCAAAGAATGCTGCCCATGTTCCATAAACATTGACGCAATAGTTATACATTTTAATAAAATTCGGTCTTGCGCATCCGAATGAAAATCACAAATGTCCTTTAAAAATAATATGTTGAAACAAGGAATATTTTCCGCTATCTCATTCTGAAGAATCATTGTCGTTTTCCCGATTTCTAACTCTTTAAACATTTTATCACAGTTTTTGTGTTAAATCAAACTCCGGTTTGGGCTACCAGAACCAAAAACTAATGGATGTACTATTTTCTTATAAAATATCTAAATCGGAGCTTTAAATTGCTTTACTAAAACAGTTTTTTTTTCTAGTAGGATCGTCGTTACAAAAATTTGATTTGCCTACTATGTAGATAATTGATTAGGCATCAAATGGTTATATGGTTACAATTATTAATTAAAAAATTGGCTAAAAATGTTTTAGTTCTAAAATTAAAAATTCAAAATATATATTTTTAATAGATAACTCTCAATAGCTTTTTTTTTGTACAAATTGCAGTCAATTTCAGCAAACGATTCTAATTTTATGAATTTTGTCATTAAATTTTTGTCGTAAAAAAAATGAATAAAATTTTAATTTTCTATTAAATTGTCTCCTCTAGCGAAATGTACTTGTGTTTTCATATTTAAAAAATTAATGGCAAAGTCTGAATTTATGACGTATAAACAAATGGACCGTATATTGATTCGTGATCTTACATCGCTCATATCACCAACATCCAGGTTTTTACTATCCACCATGCTGCCATTTGTGTCTGCCGATCCAAGTGCACCTGGAGGACCGGCATTCACTGGTGTCCACGGTGATGGTATGGTGCCGGGTCCAACTGAAAACAAAATAAGAACACAACATTTATTATAAAACAAGTCATATTTTTAGATGCCCGCCCAAAAATCACAAACATAGCACTTGTGTTTTAAGATTTAGATAAGTAGAAAAAATTATAATAAAAATCACTATCTAAACTTGTTCCCTTTGAAAGTTCAAACAAGTCAAAATATTTTTCTACTGGCCATAGATACTACGAATGCACGATAAATTTATTTTATATATCTCAAACATCTTTAAAAAAGTCCGACTGTTACCAGATAAAAAGAGCAGATAAAAAGTCGATTAATATTGATTCAGTTAAACCTTTTTAATGATATCAAAATCGGACTATATCATACAGCTGTCATGTAAGCAACCACTCTGATTTCTTTAGATTTATATTCATATCAATCGGTTTATACGATTTTAGTTATTCGTTTTTGATTTTAAAAAATCGATCGACCATTTTATATGGCTTATAGGTTCATTTTTAGAAAAAATATACTTTTAAATATATTTAAAAATAATTTATATATGTATGATGTATGACTTTGATGATATGTTTCGATTTCCGACTAAAAAAACTATCCTATAAAAACGATCGAAAAATGTTTAAGTAAATATTTTGATGAGTATACGTACTCGTATACGTAAAATATAAACCCTTCTGAATGCCCTTTTCTTATAGTTATCTAAATTTAACATTTAACTCGTATATGTACATATATATATGAATATTTTTCAACCTGAAGCAAATAGAAACTTGTATAGAAATTATTATACTGATATTAAAAAATGAATTGACTTTTTGGCTTAACTTTTAAGATTCCGTAGACATTTGTTAACAACTCTTATAAGCTCACACATAAAAACTGAAGTAGACAGTGTAAAAAGTCCAGTTCAGTCTATTAATTGTGAGAATATATTTAAATTCAAGTCCAAGCATTAACACAAACGTACAAAAGTATCAAAAAGTTGTTAGAGATAAAAGAGGAAACGTTGATAGTGCGCAAGAAGCGTTTGACTCATCTTGACTTTGGCGCAGCTACTCACAAATACTGGTTTTTATCGATGCCGACTTCAGGCAATCATTTCATGAAATGGGGAAACAAGTGTATGCATAAAAGCAGCACCCGTGTTCCATGTATATTAACACACTAACACACGAAAGTTGGCGATGAATTCAGCGGCATTTCGTGAAACCAACTCGATTCGGTAAATACAGAAACGCAACGATGATGTGAAAAATTGTTTTTGTTATCAAAAAGCCCGCCAAATGTTTCAACCCACAGTCAGCGACGAACAAAATGAATGTCTATTTAATTTCAACCTTAATTGGGCCGATTTTAATACAACATTTGTATCTCTTTGTTGGTTTAAGATTCGGCGCTCAAGCTTTCGATACACAAAGACTTTTTGAATTGAATTTTGTATTTTGGAAGAGATTTTGTTTGTACACTTTTTGGGTCGAGATCAAAAATATAATTTAAAATTCAGACTTTATAATAGATAAATACCAAATAGCAGGTTTCTAAATTGGTTATTTTTAAGAGGTCAAAATCTTGCTAAGGCTCCTAAGTAGATGGTGAGTAAACAACATTGCAGCAACATTCGTAAACTTTTGAAACCAAATTCACATTCCAATCCAAATTAATTTGATCCCTTCTTTTGCTTTATTGAATGCCATAAAAATGTTATACAAAATTCCTTTCAAATTTTAAAGAATTTTCTGACCACTTCTCCTTTTTACGTTTCTTACAAAAATTGCGCTGTTGGAAAGGTAAACAAACGAGCCTAAAACTTATTTTAAAATTTATTCATGTAGAAAATAAACCAATTTAGTATAATATTGGGAACTAAACACGAAAGGAAATTCGTTTTGTGGTACCCAAAAAACATTAAATTATTGTGTTGCATTAGATAAGTTGTAAGTTGTAAGTTTCCACAATCAGGGTCAAATAAAATCAACTTTTTAGACTATGATTGACTACCCGGAACATCATCATATTGTTTCCCGGCATTTCTCTGTTTACGTTTTCGTTGCGAACGTTGGAGTTTTCACTGTGAATGTCAAGAATTTAGGGCTGCACGGGAAAACTAACGTCTGAATGTTGCATAAAACTGGAGGAACAATTTTTAATAATGCAAAAGCTTATGGCCAACCAGCCCATCCAGCAAATGGATGGTGGGTGTGTCTCTGTGGGAATAGGGTGTGTTTGGGTATGTTGTTTTTGCAAAAATGTATGGAACAGGTGATAATTGAACATATAAAGCTCAGTCAAATTATAATTTTAAATTCTTCTTTGATTATTTTAAAGTTTAGAAATACCGAAAAATTTTCCTATCATGATTTATAATTATAAATTGAATTATTTTGGATTAATTAACATAATCAATATGATTTTAAATTTGAGTAACAATCTGCGATATTCAATACGAATAATCTAAGAGATACAGGTTTTTTATTGAGTACCAATGCCATCCTGTCCATCCACTCACCCGATAATGATTTGAATTCCTCGAGGGAATCTAAATGATTGGAGAAGGGCGCCACTTTAAAGCCGATATCCAGCAATTGTGTATCAAATAAATTTTGAATTTTTTCTTTCAATTCGAAACAAATATTTTTAGTTTAGAATTTGCACTGGTGAGAGTCTAAATCTATATCTATCAAATCAAACATTTCTCTCAAAGTTTTGCTTTTATTTATCTTTATCTGTATCTTTATCTTTGTTTTAGTTGTGTTTTAGTTGTGTTTTAGTTATTTTTGTTGTTGTTGTTTTTGTTCGACTTGTTTCTTTCACAGCGTCAAAAAAAAAAAAAAAATACGATCCCGGACGGCATGAGCAAAGGGGGAAAATAAAGTAAAATGCGATGCGTCTGGTTAAGAGAAACGCGCACGTCGAACTGAAATGTGCCGTAGCCGTATACCGTATAGTTTCCACATATTTCTATTCTTTGTTTTGGCCGGTTCCTTTTTCTGCCCCTGGGCGCTGGTGCTACAGCTAGAGCTACGCCGCTGTTTCGCCCATAAACCAAACCAACCTATAGGGATGGTTCTAGGTATTTGTGAGACAGAGGATAGAATGCAGTGGCACATACCCTCGCAGCGTACTATTGATAGAAGCCTTGATATAGTATAGTATAGGTATAGTATAGGTATAGTATGATATAGTATGGTATAGTATGTGGCATCAAGTGCGACTGAGGCCGCATGGGTATAGTGGATATATGTATGTATGTAGAATATGCCTGAGGAGGCTAATGGAAATTATCTAAATTTCCAAGTCGATCGGAGAAGGAGCCAAAATATCCAAAATCCGCTCGCCAAACGCGTTGTATGGATGGGTCATTGTAATAATGCATGTACTGACACAGCCTGCAACTGCATAGTATAGTGCAGAGTGCAGAGTGCAGGGGTTGGTGGGATCGCTTTAGGGGTGAATGTGCCATTTTTCCATAATCTCGCACAACACACAATTCAAAAAGCCGAGCAAAGGGAGCGGAATAGCTGAACCGTGCATTAATGTTATCACATTGAATTTCAGAATTTCGACAGAAGCGTTTCAGGATAATTTCCAATTAGAAAACTAGAAACAGACTTTTGTGTACGGTCGTTCGGTCGGTCGGTCGGTCGGCCGTTGGGTCGGTTTTTCGGTCTACTCTACGCTTGAACTCAATTTCCTTCTGAAACTCGCAGCTGCTCGTGTTCAGTTTTAATAAGGGAATGTGTGTTTCGTTTTCCTGCTTTTCCATTTCTACCCTTAGAAGCCGCATTTTTGTTGTACGGCAATTGGAATTTATGGTATGCATTCTGCTTTTTCATTTTCTTTATGTATGCTCCGTCGCCTATACATATATGCATACACATATACATATACATATACATGCCTGTGCCTTTGCCTCCTCGACGGGACCTTAAACAGCCATATGATGACGTCCTTAGCACACTCAGGATCAAAGTTAGGATCCACAAAACGTATTTTAACAGCATTAGATAATATAAGTGTATCCCTGTTTAGGGGTGTTCTTATTTTAGTCGGAAGTTAGCAATGCACGCCTTTTAGACCCTTTAAAATACAGACATTCTTGACCTTTGCTTTTTTACAATAGGCTTCGGGATCTGAAGATTATAATGAAAACGGTCGGTCCATTTATAGGATAAACTAGCAAAATCAATATAGAAATAAGTTTCTAATTTAATAAAAATCGGAGTAATAAAAATAGGGATTTTTCAAATAATGACAAACAGATTTTAGTTATAATTGAAAGATTTTATAAGCCGAAGAAGTTTCTTTTTTGTTCAAACTTAAAATGTATCTAACCCCTCCCAAAAGTCTTTATACACCTAATAATAATTACTACACTAGCCAACATTTGTTGTCTTCAGTGGCAAGTGGAGTGGCAAAGTATTCTTAAAAATGTATCATAATTTAATTCTGTTAACTAGAGTCATGGTAAAAGGAACATACCAAATATTGTTTAATATAATTTCCAACAAAACAATTATCTTCTGTGTACCATGTCTCAACCCTTAAAATGACCCACTCATTCGCGCCATGAATATTCTGAACTCAGAATGGGGGTGGCGAATTCGCCAAATTTGTAAGGGCTAGAATGGATTTTATTCTGAAGTGCAACCAGAAAATAATTATTAATAAATCAAGTATGTTAAGCATTTTAAAATTGATTACGCAATAATGCTCCTTAAACATCAATGAATATTAAAACAACTAATATTTGCTAGTAAAGTAAAGAAGTAAAAGTAGGAACAAGTATTTGAGGGAGTGAGATGCGGAACAGGGAGCATAATTATAAATAAATTAATTTTTAAAAATATTTTTGAATTGTACTTTTATTGGTAAAGATTTTCGTTTCGAAAATATAAAGTTTGCGGCCCAAAAGACTGTTTTAAGTTGAAATCATTATTAATTCCTTGGTGTAATGCATTAAAGCTTAAAAACACCTTTTACGATCCTGACAGTCATATGGTACTATTAACACAGAGAATATAAAGAACTCTACAAAATCTAGTCATTTCAATTCAAAGTGTTATGGTCTTTCAATGTCGATTTACGCCAAAAAATATAACCGCCGTACGATCTTAGTATAATCATAATTTTTATAATTAAATACTGATGTAATGAAATAAATAAAAGTGTAACACAAATGTTTCATTTAGCTTTGTTTTTAGTAATCCATCAGAAAATAATAAAGTATTTTAAGAACAATTATAACGACTTTGCAGAGTATTAATAATTAAATTCTTTATTACACACACTAAATATTTTAAGTTGGATTTTCCTACGAAATGAAGAAGCCATTGCCAACCATATAAAGCAAATACATAAATATATATTCCTGATCAGCAGCATCTCTAGACATGTCTCAAGTTTTTATATTTGTCTTTCTTAGTAGATCTTTGACAATTATCTCCTTTTTATATTGCAGGTATAAAATAAATTTATGAGAAACATTTAAGAGTTCAAAAAAACATTGGTAAATATTATATAGCTTTGTAAATATTTAAAGAGACTTTTGAAATTAAGCATGTTGATAAGTTTAACATTAACGTTTTACATCCGATTTGGAAGCAACTAGCTAATCCTTTTATCATATTATAGACAGTTACAGTAAAATGTAATTCTATCCAACAACAAAATAGTTTAAATGACGACTATGCAATAAAACAAAAGTCATGCAGTTTACTTCCAGAGTTTGTAAATCAAAATGTCTGAAAATCTAAATCGTATTAATTGGCCATTTCTTTGAGTCATGGGCACAGTGGTCACTCGAAACAGTAAACCAAACAAATCCTAGGGTGTTTACTGTATAAAATTTGTTCACTGTGGGACAGGTTTTATGTGGATATCTTTTAAACTAAGCAAGTACAGTAAATAAACTGTAACATTCATACTTTACGTATAGTTTTATGTTTGGAGATCTCTTACAGCGCAAAATCGATTATCATTATGCAATTATATACAAAACACCTACACTTGTGAAAAAAGGCGTGCTCGAAAGCCGATCGGTTTGTTAAATATGATCCGATATGATACTGCAAAAGAAAACATAATAACCCGCTTGATGGGTAATAATAATAAGATATTGTAGCTTAAGCTTTGCCATGCAATTGAATTATTCATCTTGGCAATCGAAAGTTGGCTTCTTCGTTTTGGATATATGTATGTATGTATGTATGTATGTAGATCGGATGTTCTTATGAATGTATGTTTGTATGTATGTGTGTATTTATGTATGCATGGATATAAAGCAGTTCTGGTCTCTGTTTTTGTTTTTGTTTTGGGTGACTTTCCTCGTGAACTCTCTTCTCTCCACTCTCTATGTGTGCTTTTTTTTTGTTGTTGGTAGGGAACGGGAATTGGACTGCTCACGAGGAAAGTCACCAAAAGCAAAGACCACCACTCCGGGGGGTGATTTCTTGGTGACTTGATCTTGGCGATGGTGATTCGGATTCGGATTTGGATTTGGATTCGAATGTGCAACGGACCTGCCTGTTGTTCTGTTTTCTCCGCAACGTCCAACTCAGTGCAGCCGAGGTTGTTCCGCAGTTGCAGCAGCCCAGTGCCGCAAGTGCTCGAGCTGGTAATGTTTTTCATGCAGCCAGCTTACTTTTACTGTGCGGCGTCGCCTAGTTCACGGAATTAAAATCTGTTGGCGCTAGATTTAGACTCTGATGTCACCACCGTCACCGTCACCGTCGTCTCGGCTGGTCAAAGGCACTCTTATTATTATTATTCGTATTCGTTTGTAACAGTTAGTTAGATTTTTTGTTGTTTTTTTTTTTTGTTTTTTGTTTTTGCTTTCGGCAAACAAGTAACAGGCTTTATATTATGGTGTTTTTATTATCTATTCCCGTGATAACGGCGGATCGTTGTGGTGGAAGCAGCGTCTGGACTGGAAACCCTTTTGCTTTTTGGATTATGTGGCTTATTCGATACTTGTTTTTGCACTACTTTACTTTTTCTCGACTCGACTCGTATCGAATCAAATTTCGATTCTACGTGTATACACCACACATGCATATTCACATACTTACATCTGCAATAATTCATGAATCGGAGTTCTTGAGGAAGTGAGAAAGATCTTTTTCATTTCAGGCAACATCTTTTACTCGCCTCTCATTCTCATTCTCTCAAACACTCCCACTCTCTATCTCTCTCTCTCTCTTTTTTTCCCTCTCTCTTTCTCTCTCTTCCTCGCTCTTCCCCTCACTGGCATATATATATATATAACTGTGTATTCCGTAGTAAGAGTATGACCAGCTTTGTACAATATCGTAGTCTTTGTGCCAGCGAGAGTGTGTCTGTAAGCCTTTCAGTGGAAATAAGGCGCAGCTGCGGCAATAAGATGAAGAAAGAAGAATGGCCACCAGAGAGCAAACTATTGGATAGGTTTGTCGCTTTTTTATACATTTTAACGTTTAACGTTAGTTAATGGGGAGAGCAGAGGAGAGGAGAGCACGTAATTGAGACGGGGCTTTTAGCGATGACGATGACGATTGTGATGACGATTATATGGTGTATGTAGCTTGTAGTCTGCAGTTTTCATCTGCTTAAGCAAATAGTCTGTTTTTCTGCACAAGTGCAGTTCTAATTGTGTGTATATGCGACGACTACTGTTGTGAATGTGCAAAAGCATTCGCACATGTGTGCATGCACATCACATGTATGTACATCGCTGTGTATGTAGATATATTTATGAAATACTTTTTTTTTTTTAATTCTGTTTTGGGGCACCTAGAGGTATAGGATAATTTGGCTAAGAAATCACACACATTCATATTCTTGGCCCCACGCCTACTGTTTATGAGATACGTGCAAGAAAAAGATAAAACAAAAAAAAAATCAGAGAGAATAAGAGAGAGAGAAGGGGAACTAAAAAGTGGCCACGGTCGCATATTTAAACAAATCTTCTAAAATATATATCTTTGTAGATAGATAACATTAAAATACACAAAACGCATTGGAACAGAACAAAATGATAAAAAAAAAGAAAATAAAACAAGTCCAAATCCAAATCCAACGCAAAGAAGGAAAATGTATTTAATAATCTTAAACCCACGCACACTGTGACAGCCGCTCACGGCTGTACGAAAAGGGGGCTGAAATGAGAGGAGGCGAGGCGGCGCACACAACGATGACGACAACGACAACGAAAACGAAAAATCGCGGAAACACTGCGAAAAACGCAACGCGCAGAAGCGAGAGAAACTCATCGACTGAATCCAAATTCGAATCAATACAAAGAACGACGCCGACGTCAGCGTCGATAACACTAGCTGGCTGGTCTGGTCTGGTCTGGTATGGTTGTTGACGTTACGTTGGCTTGGCCTGGCTCTGGCTAACTCATTCTCTGCTTCTGCTTCTGCTTCTGGCTCTGTTTCTGCTCTTGCCGAGGATAGCCGACTATATAGACGACTTCTGCCTCTGCCCTGCCAGCATAACTGGTGGATCTGGTTGTTTAGTTTCCTAACCTAACACCACACAAACGCAACCAAAACGCTGCCTACGACCACAGACGCAGATCACAACCCGATCAAACCCCCAAAACCGAAACATCACCATCACACCAGGCACCATCATACCATTACAAGTGCACTGCTTAAACCCCACACTCAGGCAATTGGGGAGCCAGAAGAGAAAAAGAGCAAGAGACGTTATTACTCAACGCCCGCTCACGCTCGCGCTCTCTCTCTCCCTCTCTCTCGCTCTTACTCTCTCTCTCTCTGCCTCTCTCACGACGCCGTCGGGTGTGACTAATAGTCGCCGAGCTTGATGCCGCTGGCGCCTTAGCGCACGATTTCGATTTCGCTCACTTTGTAACCCTTGCATGGAATAGGGTGTTATAACTTTGGCCAGAATTTCGCAACGGAAGTCCTTCGTCACTCCCCACTCTCTGACCCCTTCAAACAAAATAGCGCCTTAACGAGGTGAGTAACCAGTGACGATCGCAAGTGCAATGGCCAAGATCCGCTCTCAAATCATGTGAGGCAAATGGCTAATACTCCGTTAACTACTTTTATTTTGGGGACATCACATTACGCCCATTTGGAATATCATTTCGATATATCCATTTTTATCTTGCGATATTCAGTTCTGGCGATCGATCTCTAATTTTCTTACGATCTACATACATCTTTATCTGATTATAACATGTTGCCACATTTGACTTTTACTACCTCCTAATTGTAGATCAAAAGGGTATATTGCGATCGGTGACAAGTAGGTTGCGGGTAAGAGAAAGCATTTTGCAGCCCATATAATATGTATCTTCTCGTTTAGATTCTGAATGAACGTACATTTTTGATTAAAAAAAAAAAAGGGTTTTTTATTCTATCTATCGTCTTACTAAAAATTATAAAATTATAAATCAAATATTTAACAATATGTTTAAAAATTATTATCAAGATATGTACATAGCATGGTCAATGACGCCACTGTATAATTTTTTTGAAATTGCTTCGCAAATTAACGGGTATCTAATAGTCGAAACGCTCGACTACAGCGTCTATTCTAGCTTTTTCTTGGAAAACCACGTATATACAAAAATAAATCTGCGCGACGAACTTTTAAAAAAATTATAAAAACGTGTCAATATGTAATTTTGGTTCCAATAAAAATAATACTACTACTGAAATCCCCAGCGAATTGGAAATTTACCCAAATCGAAGACAAACTCAACTTTTAACCGTATAAACAATAGCGTGATTCAATCTTAGGGTAAGCAGACTTTGGCAAAATTAGATTTAATGATCTCCCGCAATAACCAATAGCCACAGAAACACTTAAGCTGCATTTCTTTAAACACGGTTTTATGCGACATTTTTTCTGATAGGATATATCAATATCGACACCCTTGGTGATGCTGATCAAGAATACAATATTGTACCTTCTATACTTTCCGAGATCTTGACAGATCGATCTCGAGTTTGGTTCAAAGTTTGGCCCCTTTCATTGCCGAAAATCGCGTAGTCTATTAAAAAATAAGAAATCAAGTCTAATTCGTATTGCGCATGCGTACAGGCTACACTTTGAGTAACGGATTAGTTAAAGACAACTTTTCGATTTTCAAGAACAAAACTTTAAATTAAGTTTAGAAAAGTTAAAAACATTTAATTCTAAGTTTAGTTAAGTAGTTTTAAAAATACAAGATTTTAAATTATTACTTGTACCAACATCAATACAAATATTAAATTTCAAGCCCAGTGTAGAACATAACTTTAAAGATATATATATAATCCGACTTATTACAACAAATGCTTATGTATCTGTAAGTGTTTTTTATTTTATTATCAATAAAAAAATTGTTGTAGAAATGCCATTCCGCTTTCATTTCCTTACAAGACAAGCCATTTTATACTATTGGAGTAACATTTTAAGGATCTTCATAAGCAAATGAAGTGATACACTCATTTGGAACATGTGAGCCTAGAAAAAACTGTGCCTTCTTAGGATCATTAACCTCCACAATCTGTCGCAGCAACCAGAGGCGATTGTCCTCGCTCCTGAAAGTCGAGAAAGGACTCCGGTTCCAGTCTGATGTATCTGCCGACGGGCAATGATGGCTTCAAGGTGCTTGTTTGCAAAAGATGACTTGTTCCACGGTCTGGATGGAACAGAGCATGTCCATAGACGATGTTGCGCTCGAATCGAATATATGTTACACCTGCGTCCTGGTGGGTATCGAAAGGATGCTTTCAGGCGGATGGCCCCTTGGTTCAGCTGAATGCCGCCTCTTGTCCTCAGAAGGTACATAACCAGGTCCACTATCATGTAGTCCTGCCTGTGGTTCTCCAGCACCAAGGTCTGTTCCCACTTCATCGCCAAAAGGGTGCCTCCTGCGAAAGCTGCTCCGCTCTACAGAGATAGGGCGTAAAGAGGTGACTACCTCGATGGAGCAAATCGGATCCTTGGCTATCGACAGGGCACCAGATGCACTTAGCGATCGTAGAGCATCACATTGTGCCTGGCCAGCAGGATGCCAGCCCGGAAAAGGCCGCATGGAAAGAACAGGAACATGAGCTCCTTGGCGGAACCAAAATCAAGGCTATTCGTATTCTCCCAAGGAGCGTCTCAAGTGCTCGTTGATGTGGTTACGATTAATGGCTAATGGAAACCAAATGCGATAGAGGTGACTCTTTATCTGGGCCGCCGGCACCGATCCTCGACCCTGGGCCGCCATCTCGACCAGGAGGTGCTCCAGCCCGTCGAAGATCTCGCCCAGTTGACGCACCTGCTCGGCCACGGATAAGTCGCTGGACATCCGTTGGCTCTGGAAAGCAATGCTGGTGTTGCTAATGTACCCAACGGTCCCTATCCTGAACCTACTTCACCGGCCCATTCGGCATGAACTTCGATGCCCGAAGTATGTGGACAGTTGAATAGATCGAGTCTTTGACTTTTTTCCTGTATTTTCGTGTCGAAATACATAGATATGATTGGAATGGTTTTGATTTATTCTCCGTGACCTATTTTATGTTGTAAGCACTTCAAAATCAACTTTAGCCTATTCCAGCAGCCTAAAAAGCGAGAGTCAAATATTTTGCCGCATATTAACAAACGGATTGAAAACCGAACTTATTTTTAGACCTAACTAGTAAAAATTACAACTAATAAATTAGACAATATCGTTATCTAAATATAATCATAAATTTGTATCCGCACAGGGCAACGCAGATTTCTTTCTAAAGTGTGTTCGATTTCCAGGATATTGTACTGCAGCTTTGATAAATTTTCTAAATCGAAATTCTTTATACTTCTTATGAATTATAATAACGTCCTGCTTGGAGCAGGATAATATATGCGGAAATAAACTAGTCGATTAATAATCCAATATATTTTACTTTAAATGTTTGCCGTGAATTGAAAATCCAACAAGCTAATCTCCACTAGAGATCTCCATTAGAGAACCTTTAAAGGCAAAAAGGTTCGAGATATTTAACCTGCTATGTTAGATTATTTTTAAAGTTATGCATTTATGCACACTCCGAAAACTAAATGGCCTTAATTTTAGGACAAAATTGCCAGTTTCTATCAACAGGTTAAAATTAAAGAATAACGTTTTAGTCGTGGCAGCTTTTTATAATCTATAAATTTAAATTTGATACATTAACATGTTTACATTTTTGTATAAATATTTTTGGCAAGGTTTATTCTTTTAACAAAGAATTAATATTTTAATTAATGCAATTATATTAGATGAGATTAGATGACTACATCTTAAAGCTGGCATTTGTTAATTGTACTAACAGTCTAGTTTACAAAGCTTACTTACGCAATTAAAGCTATTAATCGATCTGGCCAAATTCCATAATCAAAATTTGGCTTTTATGTGCGATAAATATGATGATATTTTTACAAATAACATATAAATCAATTTTAAAGTTAAAGAGCTATAAGGCCAAAAATTAAATTATTTATTTTTTAAAAGCTAATTACAATTTCATAAACATTCAGAATTTTGTTGCACTACAAATTATTCCAGGAGTTATATGTTACATCGAGAATAGAAGTTAATGATGTTGTTTAAAATCAACTAAATAAAACCAAATAAGTCTGTTAGCATACATTTTTTTTCTAATTCGAATTTCATCTTTGTAGTTTTTTTTTTCCAAACCAACTGATTTTCGTAGAGTCTAGTAATTCTCACTTTTTAGAAAAAAAAACCTTTGATCGGTGCATAACTTGTACCGCACATACCGTAGACAATTTACCGAACTCAAACTACCTTTCGATACCGTTTAAGCCACTTAGTTTTAGAACAACAGCAGCTGTCACGTTCCGCAGACATGACAAAACGATCATTTTGCAATTGTACACGATTTACTTTTCCATATACATAATACAAACCGTTAAATGCGACATAACTCAACTGTTCGTCATTGAAAAATGCACAAACTTCTTAGTATTTATAAACTAAAAGAACCAAATTTGTATAAAGTATGTAGGAAATATAAACTTTATCATTTCTAAAGGCTTATAAAAGAATTTATACTGCTAAATATATATTTATATTTTTTTTTTTGTAACAATTGTAAGCAGTTTTACCTTTATAAAATTATGGCATAAGAACCCTTTAAATGAACTTGAATGTTTTAATTTATATTAAAAGTATTAAAATCTCATTTAGCGACCAAATTTGCATTGAGGATCCACAGAATAAAAATGTGGCATGTTTCAGAAATCGCTTTTCACTGTCTCATCTAGAAATATCTCTTAACCGACTCCAAATAAAATCCTCTCGTTCTTGACCTTAGACTATTAGCAG